CTAAGTGTACACAAACAGCATGCAGTCATTGTCAAGCTGCACTCCTTCAAAGCATGTTACACTAAAAACATTGAAACAGACAGAAGCTTCCTGAAGATCATTTCCACTGTGGATGCCACTTAAGGCAAGCACCTAAAACTGTGCTGACATACCTGAAATGTGAACATAAGCTGGCAAACTTTGTTTTCTGTGCTCTTTGTTGCTAGAACATGGGTTACAGGTAAAAAGTTACTGTCAGTCAATCAATAAAATGGTTTTAAGATAATAAAAGTAATTCAAGCTTTCTTCCACAGATCTTAAAGAAAAAGCTAGAATAAAACTTTTTCTCTAGCCTCAGGTTTAATCCCTGAAAATTGCAGTTTTGTTATCTCTTATGTAAGACTATATAACAAGTGATGTAAAACACAATTTCTTTCTGTAGAGGAGTCTGCCTTTGTCTAACAGTGAGTCAGCATCATCTGACAGATCAATTTTCTCTAAGTGTAGGATGTGGATTTTGCATATCACACTCTCCAAGGGCACCTGTTGGAAACTTGGGTCGCTACAGCGTGGAATTTCACACCACACATAAGGTCAACTCAGTGGCCTCCCAGCACATCACAAAGTCTCATCAATAGGAATGAGCTGATATGAGATACCTCAAGTTTTCTGCCCTCCAGATCTGCCTTTCTATAACGGGGACACAACATTCCTTAACACGTGGTTGGTTCTTTCTGAAGCTGTGCGTGTCTCGTATCCACAGGATCAAGAGGAGGGACCTCAGGAGCAGTCTGATTCCACCTCCTGAGCAGAGGTCTGTCAGCTGTGAGGTCAGATGAGGCTGGCCAGAGCTTTAAGCAGCCAAGTCTTGAAAAACCTCCCAGGATTTTCAACTTCTCTGGGGACTGTGTTGCAAAATTTATTTGTCCCGATGTGGAAAACGCTTTTCCTTGTGACCAGTCTGTGTTGTTCCAATCTTTGTCCACCATCATCCTCCTGCCAAGCACCACTGTGAACAGCCTGGTCCTGTCCTTTCATAAGCCCCCATAGGTGTGGGCAGGCTGCTGTCAGGTGTCCCCAAAGCCATCCCACAGGCAGGCTGCTCTTAGGTGTCCCAAAGCCATTCCTGTTCCCAGCCTAGCTCCCTCAGCCTCTTCCCACAGGGGAAGTGCTCCAGCCCATGCTGACCCTGGGGCCCACACTGTTGGGAGTGTTCCAGGTGGGCTCCAACACGTGCTGAACACAGGGAAGGGATCACTTTCCTTGACCTCCAGGCTGTGCTTCCCCTAACATAGCCTGGGATGCTGCTGGCCTGTTGTATTCCTGGGCCAGCTGCTGGCTCATGCTCAGCCTGCTGTGTACCAAGGCCTGAGCTCCATCTGAGCAGAGCAGCTCTCCAGCCTGCCAGTCTCTCACCTGTATTGTTGAAAACTCCCAAAATCTTTTGGTATCAAGTCTGTGGGAATGGCCAAGGCACTTTCCCCATGCCACACACAGCAGAAGCTCCCAGATCTTCCAAGATCATCTGCATTAGAAGCCAAGATTAACTCTATACAGATATTAAGGTAAAATAATGTCAATGCACTTTCCCCAATACCTTTAAAAACAAGTGTACAAATTCCTCTGTTTTCTTGTCTCTGAAAAAGAGAACAGCTGCTGCGAGGTGTTCCTTTCTTCCAAGCATGGTTGTTTATAGTAAGGACTACTAGGCTTTGATCAGTTGCTTATATTTACTAAATTGATTCCAACATCTTTGCCAGTGGGCTGTATGGATTCCCAGTGTGAGATGCTCCTGCTCATTTCAAGTGGCTGAGATTGTTTTTCAGTGGAATTTTCCATTATGCCCTGTACTATCTTTCTTCAAAGCACAATTTGTTCACTGGACAGTACTCCTTGTCCAACATAACATGCAGAACCATTGCTCAATACTTTTGTTTTCTTCCCATGTGCTCTGCCTCCATCTATTCTCTTGTCTCAACCTAAGTTTCCTTTCACAACTCTTTTGCAGGTAATCTCATACGTTTGTTACCAGCTGCTATGTCCACTTTGTTTCCCCCCCACTTCATCCCCCTCTCTCTGGTATTAAAATTTGGGAAGCAGTCAAGGCTTCTCAAGGAAGACACAGAGGCTGGGGATGAGCAGAGGGAGCAGCCCTGGCAGAAGGACTTGGGGCTGCTGTGGGTGAGAGCTGGCCCTGCCCCAACCCAGAGCCCCCCTGTGCTGGGCTGCAGCCAGAGCCCCAGGGCAGCAGGGCAGGGGGGATTCTGCCCCTCTGCCCCTCTCTGCTGAGCCCCCCTGCAGGGCTGCATCCAGCCCTGGGCCCAGCACAGCAAGGACAGGGAGCTGCTGGAGCCAGGCCAGAGCAGGGACACCAAGGGGAGCAGAGGGATGGAGCAGCTCTGCTGGGAGGAAAGGCTGAGGGAATTGGGATTGTTCAGCCTGGAGAAGAGAAGTCTTTGGGGTGACCTCATTGTGCCCTTCCAGTGCCTGAAGGGAGCCCACAGGAAAGATGGACAGAAACTCTTGACAAGGGCCTGGAGTGACAGGACAAGGAACAATGGCTTCACACTGACAGAGAGCAGGTTTAGGTTGGATATCAGGGAGAAATTGTTCCCTGTGAGGGTGCTGAGGCCTTGGAACAGGTTGTCCAGAGAAACTGTGGCTGCTCCATCCCTGGCAGTGTCCAAAGCCAGGCTGGATGGGGCTCTGAGCAAGCTGGGATAGTGGAAGGTGTCCAGCAGGGGGTTGGAGTGAGACGAGCTTTAATGTCCCATCTCATTCTATGATTCTCTGACTCCCAACCCTTTTCTAATGCAATGAAAGTAGGAAAAATCCTGCATGCCCAACAATTCTTGCCTGAGCACAAGCAGGTCACTACCATCACACAGTGTGCTCTGAACAGAGATGTTCAAACCCCAATAGCAGCAGCTGGACAAATCAGCACATGATAAAGGCCAAAGGAATCCACATCTCTAGCCCCTATCTAATGCTTCGTCCATTAAACAGCTGTAACAAATCAATGTTTCCCCTATTTTCTTGGGTCAGACCCAACAGAAGATACACACTTTGCTGACCAAGCTGCAGACTGTGAAACAGCAGGTGAAAATCTACAACAGCTCAAGTGTTGAAAGATCTAACATAGTTATGATGAAACTAATTTATATCTCTGGTTAAGGTCTATTTCCAAGTGTGACCATTATTTGATGCTTAAAAAGCAACTAGAAGCAAGAGCTTCCACAGTGAGGCAGCATCAGGCTGCAGAAATAGAGCAGGTTTCAGGAATAAAAGAATAGAAGGGTATGAAATGAGAAGAATTGGGATTCCTGAAGATGCACTGTCTCCACAGTACCCCAGTTAACAAGTGTGAGGTGATGCACATGTTAAGCTGTAACAGGGAGTCTGCTATGAAGATCAAATCCCTTTTCCAGCAACATATCTCAATTTAAGACATCTCAAAAAAAAATCTACAAAGCCCAAACTTTTCCCTCTTTTCAAGTCCATTAATTCAAAAAGCAAAAAAAACAACAAAAATTCACCCCACCCTAATCCAAACCATCTTGAGAAGCACTAGATGTAGTTTTTCCAGGAAAAAAAAACAAAAACCAGGCCCCAGGACTGACTTCAAATGAAAATGTGGCCTCTCAAGCCTCCCCAGGACATGGGCAAAATAAATCAAGGACAAGCTACAACAGGCCTAGGGCTGTACTGTAGTCTGTTCACCCTCCAGTCTTTTTTTCCTTCTGCAGAATCTGATAGTACAAGAGTTCCACAACAGCAGATTAAGTTTATGACTACAGATAAGCACATTTCATAAAATATTATTAAGCAATTAAATATCAGTCTCATTAAGTACTTACAGTTGTAGTATTTGTTACAGGTAGGAACACCTTTGTCATTTTTAATCCTCAAAACACTGTGCTGTGCTACACTTGTTGCATGCTAAAGGCATTTTTGAATTGCTCTGATTTGCCTGAGTGCATTAGCAATATGTGTAAATTTCAAGTCAATGACAGTATAGTCAATATATATAGAAACAGGTGGTTTTGATCAGAAAATGAGCAGATGTTATGTGGCAACAAACAACATCCTGCAATAACAAGGCTGGTAACTCAAAACAACAAAAAATGAGCAAGTTTATCCCAAAGTTCATGCTTTGAACCCTACATTAGCTGCTGGTTTGGTGCTGGGGTTTTATTTCAAATATTAAAAGAGATACTAGTATTTCTCTAGTCCTACAACAAAGATTAGAAATTCACTCTGTGACTGAGTGCATGAAGATAAATACACCTCTGTAGAGCACCTTGGGGACAACAGGAATCTTGCTGCTTATGATCACAGCATTCATACAGCAGCCACTGCTTACACTGAAAAGCAACTTTATGTAATAAGTTATTTTCAGTTTTCTCACTGCTGATTTTTATCCAGTCATCCAATGCTTCCTCATCACTGCCTGCTTTAGAGGCACTCACCAGTTGCCAAGAAAATATAGAATAGCAGTAAAAGCAGAGAAATAGCACAAGCAAGAGCAAATGTGTCGGTGGCAACAGTGGACTCAAAGGCTCATTTGTGAAGCACAAACAATAATACATGTCAATATCAGACACCTGCAGGTTTATTTCTTTGTAAATGTGATGCCAATGACAAGAACAATCACTCTGTAAACATCAGAGTTTACTTATCCTTTCCCATGCTCTGTAAAGGGTGGTAAAGCAGCCAATCAACATTACCAGCGCTGTTAATTAAAACATGACCATCACTGCATTCACAGCACTGACTCCAGGGAACTCTGGCCAACTCCTACGTGTCTGAGACTTACAAAAAAAACATACCACGACCATAACGGGATAAACTTATACAAATACTTGTAATAGGTAACAAATTCTATCGAAATCATATTTGTGAACAGAAAGCTCGTCTTAAATCAAAGAAACATCAATCCACGCCGATCCTTGACAGAGCCCCCGTAGAAGCGCTTCTCACACAAAACCCGCAGCCGAGCTGCCCAAAGCGGAGCAGAGCGCGGGCAGCCCCGCGGGAGGGCCGGGCCAGCCCAGCCATTGCCGGGGTACCCAGAGGCGTTCCCGAGGCTCTCGGGCAGGGCCGCGCTGCCCCCTGGCGCTACGAGTCGGGCAGGGGCTGGCTGTGGGTGCCGCTCCGCGTCTTCAGCTGCGACTGGGCGATGTCGGCCAGGGCGCTCTGGATCTTCTCGAGCAGCACATCCCCGCGGTACACCACCTCCTCCAGCCGCGCCGCCGCCTCGTGGTTCTCCTCCTCCAGCCGGTGCAGGCTCGCAGCCTTCAAAGCAAAACCGGGATCACGCCCAGAGATCTTTGCCTGTTTATCTATTTTTCATATATCCATACCTCTGGACACTACTATCACATAGTCCTAGTATTTTTCCTGCAGTTTCCCTTTAGAACAATAAGCTAAACCTTCTAATGCATACTTGGAACTCTGCTCAGTCTTATTCTTATGAAGAAGCCTGACTGGGATGTTTTGTTTTCCAACCAGAATCTGGGAACACACAAGAAATGGAGTGAAGAAGCCCCTGGAACAACTCCAATGGGGCAGAATGCAGGGAAAACTGCCTAACCGACTACTCTTCTAATTGGCAGTATTTATTAGATATGCTAATTTGTTAAACTCACAAAATTGTAGAAATCTGATGCTGGGTGTGCCCATGACCACTGGGACACCTGGAAGCTTCCAACAAAGCCCTGCTTTTAATTCCACTATTTTAACACTCTCGCAAGAGTTGCTCTTTTGATATCAGGCAACAGGCAAAAGCAAGGATCTTCAACAGAACCCTGAAGTGACTTTGCTACTCAAGGATGCTGAGGAAACAGCTGGTGCTCCCTAAAAAGAAAAAGGTTCTCTTGTTTAATAGTTGACTGCAACTAATTCACAGATTAGAGCAGAATTTGTACTGTCAACTTCACCAGAAGGGAACTCACAAGGGGCAGGTAAATTGTGCTGAGCATTCATCTAGCAGCTCCTTTTATAATTTAAGACAAGACTCGGATCTGAAACACACACCAAGACAACTTTAGTATAAACAACTTTTTTCTAGTTTCTAATTAACCAAGTATTATCTACCACTTCTCAACTAAACCTATAGTGCATATTTGAGAATGTTTCAAGCATCTTCAAAACCATTTATTTGAAGATTATCAGAATATTTAATACTGCACAAAATTAACAGAAAATAAAAATCAAAACTGGAATCCAAGTGATGAAATCCAAGCTAATTTACCTTAAAATCACACCAGACAGAAAGTATCAGAACTTTTTGTGACATGAAGTTCTTCATTAAGAGAGTAAGAAACTGTTGAAGTATCACCTCTGAGGAAAGCATATCCCTGTGGATCACCAGCTCCTCCTTCTGGAGCACCCTGCTTTGCCCACACCAGCTGCCACTTTGATCAGACCCTGCTCAGTCACGGAATAAACTGGAATTTGTCTGCAGCAGGCATTCTATCTTCAGCTATTAAAAATGCACTTATAGGAAATTATGCTAGTGTTAACGAGGCCAATTAAGATGTTCAGCAATTACTGTGACTAGAAAAGTTCCCAAATTTAACCTCCTCTGTTCAAAACTAAACGTGATGCCACTGCCAAATAATTTCTCTTTGGCCCATTCGCTGTCAATCTTCTGTAAAACACTTTTGAATGGTTACAGAGTATCAATACAGGTTTAAAACTTCTAGGTGATCTTCAAGGTGCTCATCAGGTTTGTATTCTGCATCCTTTATGCATTCCAAAAAGAAAATACTTGATGGAAATCCAGCCATCAAGAATAAAAAAAAAAAAGATGGTTTTAATAGGTAAAATCTGTGAAACAATAGGAAAAAAAAATAAAAAACAAGTATGACTTGTTCAAAGGAAGACTCCTTGTTATTAAAAAGTGATGGAATTATTTTGTGACAGAGCTGAAGAACTTAAAGGACACCCTGCAAACTCTTTAACCAGAAACAAAGCGGAAGAGCAAAAGACTTCCGTGGTGTTGGTTAGGTGGCTACAAAATGAAATGTAAGAAAATATGAATTATTGCACAAGGGGAAAAAAAAGAATAAAACAATGCACAAAGCATCAATACTGTTATATTTGTTCTGTTAATATCTGGAAAAAAAAAAAGGGTGAGCAGTTTCCAGTATAGTGGTGGCATGATAAAACAACCTTTTTTTTTTTTTACATTGCAACAGAAAATTAAGTCAAAAATATTGTTACTGATTATAATCTTATTTGGAACTAGATGCAAGTTCAGTATTTCCACTAAGCCTACAAAGTACTCACAGGCTACCCTCATGAAAAATTCAGATTTGTACTTAAATAATTTTTCAGTGATGCCATGGTTTAGAGATGAAAAAACGTGTTTAAAAAAAAGGAGGAAGTTTGCCGTCAGGAGCGTTCTGATACTGGAATTAGGAAAACTCCTACCTGCAAAGCTGCTGTGGATTCTTCACTGGGCAGGGAATCTATGAGAACATCGATATCCTTGGCAGTGCGAGCGATCAGAGCTGCGAACAGCTGGGCATACTCTGCACAAAACACAGCACAACTCAGGCAATCACTCAGGGAATTACGAGAAACAAGCACAACTCTGCTGTCACAATGCTATGCAGAAAGTGCAGCCGACATCCATAGACGATTTAACCTCTACCAGCTAAGGGGGAACTATTTGCCGAGGCCGCATTTTGCATTCCCGAGCGCACTGCCCCGCCGCACGTTCGTGTGCAGGGGACGCGGGGAGCCGGACTCACCCTCCGTGGGGTTCACGGGCTGATCCTTGTTTATGGCCGTCTGGATGTTGCTGAAGGAGGCCGGCGGGCCGCACTGCTGCAGCACCCCGATGGCGTTACAGAACTGGTCCGCGAGCTGCCGGCACCAATTAACACGGCGTTAATCACTCTGCCCCACCGCTACAGCCGCGCTGCACAGCCGGGTGAGCCGGCTCCCGGCGCACCCCCGCCAGCCCAGCATCCCGGCCGTGTGGAGGGAGCGCACCGCACACCCGCGGCCATCCCCCCGGCCGGGGGGCTGCGGGCGGGGGGCCGTATCACCGCATGCCCGCACAGGCGGCGCAGCCAGTGCCGTGCCCCGCGGCCCTGGGCGAGCGCCCGCCTCACCGAGTTGACGGCGTCCTGCAGCTGTGTCAGCCGGTCCGCCATGGCCTCGCCTCAGTCGCCGCCGCCGCCGCCGCCCCTGAGGCGCGGGCCCGCGGGGCGCGCGCGCCCCCTGGCGGCCTGGAGGAACCGTTGGGGGCAGCGGGGAGAGCCCGCCCGCAGCGGGGCTGGGCCGGCCTCGGCACGGCTGCTTGGGGCGGTGCTGGAGTCACCGGCCCTCAGGGCGTTCAGGGAAAGGCTGGACTTGGCACTCAGTGCCACGGTCTGCTTGGCACGGCGGTGTTCAGTCACAAGTTGAACTTGATGATCTCAGAGGTCTTTTCCTACCTAAGTGATTCTGTTACTGCCACGGCCTGGGCAGCTTTTGCTGTGCAGCAGTCGCTCTGATCCCAGCTGAAGGCTGCAGCAGCGCTCGGGTGCTCCATTCCAGCCCCGATCTGAGCGGGGAAAAGCCAGAGTGTAGTGCTCCCAACAAGCCAAATCAGAGACAGCATCCGGCCTCCAAGCCCAGGGGTTGGAGGATAAATGCCATTTGTGACAGTCGGCTTGTGCCCATCTTTCTTATCTCTGACAGCTGGGTACAATGCCAACCTTCTCCCAGGTGGGCCTTAGAGATCTTCTCTTTCCAAACTCCCACCACTGGCAGGAACAATTTCCACTATCCCAGGGCAACCATCCAACCCGGCTTTGGATACTTCCAGGGATGAGGCAGCCACAGCTTTACTGTGCCAGGGCCTTGCCACCCTCACAGGGAAGAATTTCTTCTAATATCCAATCTAAACCTCAGTTTGAAGCCATTTCTATTATTCTGTCGCAACACACCTTTGGAAATAACCCCTCTGTAGCCTTGTCACTGATGCTGCGGGTGCAGCAATCATACAAATTATCTACCCAAAGTGTTTTCCCGACGGCACGGTAGGGTGAGGATTTTGTTTCCTGGGACGTGGGATCTCTTCACGCTCCAAAGTTAAACCCCAAGTCCCAAACCGCCAGTCCGAACCCCACCGTGCATTTTTTAGAGTTCGCAGCTGTCACCGCGGCCAAGCGTTTACCCCCGCACTCCCACCGCCCTTGCCGGCAGGGCCCTGCCGCAGGTGTCGGAGGGGGCGGGAGCGGCTCCATCAGCCGGGCGGGCGGGCCCCGCCTGCGGGCCGCCCCCAGCGCCCGCCCCGCCGCAGCTGCCCGGCCTTCCCCGGCCTCAGCCCCCCTTGCCCGCTCCCTCCGCGGCGCCATGTGGGTCTCGCCTCGCCCCGCGCTGTTCCTGCTGCTCGTGGGGGTCCTGCGCCATGGCGGAGCCTCAGGTGAGGGCGGTGTGGGCCGGAGCGGGGGGCGCGTGGGGCTGTGGCCGCCATTAAGCGGCCGGAGGAACCCGGCTCGTACCGGGAACCGCGGGGCTGCGGCGGGGGCTTGCTGCCAGCCGCTGCGGAGCCTTTTGGGGCTTGCTGCCGGTGCGGAGCCTTTTGGGGTGTCCCCGGTGCTGGCCGCTGTCCGGAGGGATGAGCAGGAGTGCGGAGCAAAGCTGCCTGCGGCGCTGTAGAAGCGATTCGTGATTATCTTAATCTTTCATGCGGACAAGGAGAACCACCCTTTTCCCCCCTTTCCCTCCCTATCCACTTTTTTTTTTTTTTTTAATACCTTAATTGCTATGGGTGCCATAATTTTAACTGTTTCATGGATAATTCGGAATCATTTCAGGCGCGTCGTTGCGGGGATGCGGTACAGCTGATGCGGCTGGTGTAGGGCTGGATTCCCCGAACAGAAACAAGGTGGCATTCGCTACCTATGGACATGAGCTTACATGACAAAGGGACCATGCTTAAAAGGAGGTTTGGTTTTGTTTGCTTGGTTTTATCCCCCCCGACCGGATACAGGTGTGCATAGGTTCCCACCACCCTAGTGGATGGTGGGTTGAAAACACTGTCGCTATAAAACTAGGGAAAGGAGCAAAAGCTAGAATTTGCAGCTTGATTCCTAAACTTACTTTTCGTCCGTACTGATGTAATCTGACTTTATTTGGCACGGGCTTTTTTTGTAATTTCCCTACGTTCCTGCATGTGACTAAAATAGAAGTCCAGAGTTAAGTGTGCTATAATAAGTATAGTTTGGGAAGATTTACAGTCACTTTTTTTTTTTTCTGGTTGAATTCTTATCTGTTTAAATAAAGGAAAAAATAAACAGTTTCCTCTCAGAGATAATTCAGAGATAAGCAATCAGTTCTTTGTATCAGGGCTGATGTAAGCCTCCTCCTCTTAGGTTTGCTTTATTTTTATACTTGCTTCTAACCATAGACTCATAGAATGGTTTGGGACCCTAAAGCTCATCTCATTTCAACCTCCCTGCCATGGTCTAGTGGACACTTTCCACTAGACCAGGTTGCTCAATGCCCCACCCAACCTGGCCTTGAATGAATGAAGCTTAATTGTCCCAAAGGAGACTCTTGGAATACTTTGAAGGGCTGCAGGACAGCATTTGGAACCAGTCCTGGGTGTGGGAGTCTTTTCTCTGCCCAAGTCTCATGCCCAAGATCCTAATGGAGAGCTGACTATTCCCTGTTTCTTGCAGGACCTAAAAGCTTTGGCTGGGCACCTGATGGTCACAAGCAGGTGTGAAAATGAAAGCTCTGCTTTCTTAGACCTTGATGTCCTTAAGATAACTTAAAGGATGCTAACTAGCAGTTTGTCTCCTGGACTTGATGAAAATGGGTCATGTGTTGAGTAATTTTTTTACAATATGTAAAAAGGCAAAGCAACTATGAGACTAAGCAAACTGCTTTGCCTTGAAGGAACCTGTTGCTGTTTTTCTGTGCATGATTGAGGGTGGAGGGGTATAGTATTTCCCTTGTGAAAATCTAATAAGCTGTGTAATTTGTGTGCCAGAGTGTAGCTGATCATTAGGGCCTTTAAACAAGGCCACTTGCTTAATGGTTCACTGATTTGAAATTGTCTTGTGCTTATTCAGTTGTGGACACCCACTTTGCAGGGATGGGCTCTGCTAACTCCTAATCCTTGAAGATCCTGCTTCATTTAAAAAGTGCTGATTAGTGAAATCTTTGCACGATGGCCTGTGTTACCTCTCTGGTTTTCTGATGGGCTGCAGCTCCTCAAACTTGGTCTTTGTGCAGGTGTGCTTTATGCATTGTGTTTGTTGCCTTCCAGGGAGCTCTGCCTTCCTGAGGAGGAGTTCAGCTGGCTGTGTTTGCTACATCCCAACCGGGCTGTTTAGTTTTGGAAAAACTACAGTGAGTTTATAGTGTAATCAGGACTGAGCGGTGCTTTTGTAAAGGGAGCTTATCTGGGTGAGACTTGTTTGTGCCAGCTGTTTAGTCTATGCAGAGATGATGCTTTAGAAGTTCACACAAAACTCTTCCCTCACTTTTGAGGCTGTAAAGATCTCTAGCCTGGTGAGCAGAATAGTCCTCTGGGATGGGAATGGTGCAGATGGTGACAAGCCACATTCTGTGGTGTCATCTGCTTTAAGCATCAAGCTGTTCTAAGCATGAGTCTCAGGACACACACAGTCAAAGTTCAGAAGCTTTCAGAAGTGTTCCTGCCTCTTTTGGGAGCTGGGTAGGTGCTGTATTTTTGAGGGGTTCAGTAGTGTGGGAAGACAGACCCTGTAGCCAGACTCCCATGATCTGGGTCTGCATGGCCTTACAGGTCTGATAGGATATGGCTCCAGGCTTTATTCTGTTAAGTAACTGTATGCTAATGTTTTTCTTACTCAAACTGGTTGTTGGTCTGAGCTTGCACTTCATCTTCATTAAACGTCTTCATGTGACTACTTGTTGTTGTACTCCCTGCACTGGAAGGTTCTCCTTAGCTCCTGGAGTTTGCTTACATCAGGTTGTTTTGCATATCCACTGCAAGGTGCTCTGCACCCAGTAGAAATGGGTTTTCTCTGCCTGCACAGAACCTCTCTGAGGGAAGCAGAGTGTTTGAGCATGGCCCTGCAGGTGAAGACTGTTCTGTATAGGCAGCAGGGGCATTTCTTCAGTTGTGTTTCTTACTGGAAATCGGACTGCTAGGTCTAATCAAGAACCCTGTGTGGTTAGCTGCTCCGTGGTGGTGGGGACTGACACTTGGCTATGGGAGCTGGAAATGTGGTTTACTCAAAGCACCAGAGCAGCCAAGAGCTTGGCACTGAATCAGCACAATGGAAACAGTTAAAACTGGGTGTAGCCTGTTGGGGAAACTGTGTGTCACAGGGAAGGGATAACAAGTGCCGAGGCTCTGGAATTGTTTTGTCTTGTTGTTTTGAGTTAGGAATAAGGACTTTTGATCTCAGAAGAATTTCAGAAGGTTCTATTTCTTTGCTGTCTTTACTGGCTTTGCCCTTCATGTGAGAGAAGAGGTAGTGTGAGGTGACAGAGTGGGCTGTTTGCTCTGTTCACCAGTGCTGTGTGCAGGACTAACTGTGCTCCAGTTCTGGTGCTCTTTATGGAGTAATACATGCTCAGTGCTCCATCTCTGCTCTGCTGCTGCTCGGTTTCAGCAGCTGACTTCCTTTCAGCATCTGTGCAGTTGATAAGCTCTGTAATAGTTTGGGTTCCTCTCATGTATCTAACCCAAAATTACTCTGATGTGCAGTGACTGTTACAGTCCTTCCTACAGGGCAAGGAGGAGAGCATAGCCTGACATCTTGGAGTGCTTCCAGACCTTCACTGTTGGAAGCAATAAAACAAGTTGGGATGCCTGGATTTTGGTCCTGTCTCTGTTTCTGACTTGCTGGATCAACTCTCTCACTTGTGAGATGGTGTTAAATGTGCTGCTGGTCCTGCCTGATGGGCCACCTCAGCTCAAGCTTGCCCAAAGGAGAAGGTTGCACACTGTGACCAGCACTACATGGTCACTGAGGTCTTTGTGTCCAAAGGATGTTTGACAAGACTGAGCTCTCTGTGCTCAGGGAGTCTAATGCCTGTCTGGTATTAGAACCAGAGAACTGGTGATAGCAATAGGCCTGGAGACTTGTGAGTTGATTAATTTAAGCAATTAGTTTTGCTCACCACCTTCCCTTTCTGTCTCAGTGCACCAGTAGTGACAAATGACTGAGATGAAGGCTGGAAGGGTGCTGTGGTGTGTGGCTGTGGAGCAA